TGGAGTCTCATATTTCAGGAGTTTCCCCTTGAAATCAGACATGTCTGTGGTAAGGACAACTTGGTTGCTGATTGTCTTTCAAGGGTTGGCAGTCAATCAGTTTTGTGTATAGCCAGTGTGTAGTCCTGGCTCACAATTTATTTTAACGCACGTTTTGCCGTTTTGGAGATTTGTTTTGTTTTGGTTGGGCTCGTTCCAAGGGGATGAGAGTTAAAGAAATGTATACAGAAGGTAGCCCTATACAGAAGGCAGCCTTATACAGAAGATAGCCCTATTTGGTAAAAGACCAAGTCAATATTATGGCAAGAACAGCTCAAATAAGCAAAGAGAAACAACAGTCCATCATTACTTTAAGACATGAAGGTCAGTCAACACAGAACTTTTCAAGAACTTTGAAAGTTTCTTCAAGTGCAGTCGCAAAAACCATCAAGCGCTATGATGAAATGTGGCTCTCATGAGGACCGCCACAGGAATGGAAGACCCAGAGTTACCTCTGCTGCAGAGGATAAGTTAAATAGAGTTACCAGCCTCAGAAATTGCAGCCCAAATAAATGCTTCACAGAGTTCAAGTCACAGACACATCTCAACATCAACTGTTCAGAGGGGACTGTGTGAATCAGGCCTTCATGGTCGAATTGCTGCAAATAAACCACTACTGAAGGACACCAGTAAGAAGAAGAGACCTGCTTGGGCCAAGAAACACGAGCAATGGACATTAGACCGGTGGAAATGTGTTCCAACCGCCGTGTCTTTGTGAGACGCGATGTGGGTGAACGGATGATCTCTGCATGTGTAGTTCCCACCGTAAAGCATGGAGGAGGAGGTATGGTGTGGGGGTGCTTTGCTGGTGACACTCTCTGTGATTTATTTAGAATTCAAGGCACACTTAACCAGCATGGCTACCACAGCATTCTGCAGCTATACGGCATCCCATCTGGTTTGGGCTTAGTGGGACTATCATTTGTTTTTTCAGCAGGACAGTGACCCAACACACCTCCAGGCTGTGTAAGGGCTATTTTACCAAGAAGGAGAGTGATGGAGTGCTGCATCAGATGACCTGGCCTCCACAATCCCCTGACCTCAACCAAATTGAGATGGTTTGGGATGAGTCGGACCACAGAGTGAAGGAAAAGCAGCCAACAAGTGCTCAGCATATGTGGGAACTCCTTCAAGACAGTTGGAAAAGCATTCCAGATTAAGCTGGTTGAGAGAAGGCCAATAGTGTGCAAAGCTGTCAACAAGGCATAGGTTGGCTACTTTGAAGAATCTCAAATATTAAATACATTTTGATTTGTTTAACACTTTTTGGTTACTATATGATTCCATATGTGTTATTTCATAGTTTTGATGTCTTCACTATTATTCTACAATGTAGAAAATAATAAAAATAAAGAAAAACCCTTGAATGGGTAGGTGTGTCCAAACTTTTGACTGGTACTGTATATACAGTATTTATGTATATAATATACATATGTATGTATGTATGTATGTATGTATGTATGTATGTATGTATGTATGTATGTATGTATGTATGTATGTATGTATGTATGTATATATATATATATATATATATATATATATACATACAAATGTGGCTGTTTTGTCTGGTATTTAAGTGATGACAGCCAGTAGACACCATGTTTATACTGGAAAAGGCGATGCATTTAAATTGATAATGTTGTGAAATGGAAGTTGTTTTCTGTTGGTTGTGAGCAAACTTGTCCAACAAAAATATAGGATATATACATATATATATAAGGGGGAAGGTGTTACTGGATTTTGTTTTTTTCATGTATATTTTGAGGTTGTACATTAGCACGTGGGGCGCACCGATTGGTGTCACCTCGTTAGTCAGTATGTGTTACACCTGTACTGGCTTGTCATCTCGTTACTTGGAATGTGTTTCACCTTTAGTTGCCTCTCCCTATTTGATTTCTAGACAAACAATCCTTTATCTATTTTCGTTTTGTTCCACTTTTTGGTTTACTTCCTCTTTTTGGTTTACTTCCGGTTTTTAATTTTGTTTGCCTGATCTTGGGCAAATTTAGTGGGGGCTCATGGTGGGTGTCTTTTAAGCCCCAGTTGTTGTTGCTAGTCAACTTTTAGTGGACACCCTTTTCAGAACACCTCCTAAAACCCCACCTGTTTCCTTTTGGTTGTGGTCAGTGATTATGGACACAGCATGCTTACATTATTAGTTTTGGTTGTCGTTAATGACACTTTGTTTGTCCCCGCTTCTGTTCCAGTGAAACTATTTGGTTTTCTTGCTGGGGAACGTAACATTAGTCCAAAGTTATTATCAGGTTAGTCTAAAGGTAGTCTCAGGTTAGTCTAACGTTAGTCAAAAGTTAGTCTGAAATTAGTCTCAGGTTAGTCTAAAGTTAGTGTAAGGTTAGTATAAAGTCATTATCAGGTCAGTTTCAGATTAATCTAAAGTTATTATCAGGTTAGTCTCAGGTTAGTCTAAAGTTAGCCTCAGATTAGTCTCAGGTTAGTCTAAAGTTAGTATCAGGTTAGTCTCATGTTAGTCTAAAGTTGTTATCAGGTTAATCTCAGATTAGTCTAAAGTTAAGGATGTAATAGAATGAGATATGGGAGTGATATCTCACAGTGAGAAGAAGTTGGGGAGGATCAATCTGTGAGAAGTAGCACAACCTTTTGTCTCGCAAGCCGCCTGATCTCGCAAGCTTACATGAATGTTCACGTATGTATCGCTGGAATCAGTCGGGTAATTATGAGGCTACGTCACCTTAGGCAACATAGTGAGATGTAGCTGCGTGGCTAGTTTCTTAGAACTCTGTTAAATTGTGTGCAATGGTGCTGCCCCCTAGTGGTATAAACAGTCACATACCGTTAATCGTTATAGTAGGGGAATTTTTCATAAAATATTGGCATAAATTAAAGTTATTGGTCTGTGGTTTGTCGTCAATCATCCTTACTCTTTTTATATCTAATCTCGCTTGTGCATTCTTACTTTTTATGATTCGTTTTTGTGGTTATGAAGGGGTATGTGCCATCTTCCAGAATTGCAAAATAGTTTAGCAGGAGAAGTAACTTGACTGTTTATGCAATGTCTAGGTTCTTGTTTTTCAACAAATGAGGGCAAATTCCTGATAGTAAAAATAAAAGGTTTTGCTTCTCCAAAATGGTATATATACATAAGCATATTTTGGGTAGGTATGCATGCAAAACATATCCTTTACCATGAGTGGCTATGGGGTTAATGAAATGTATAGTAGCCTACCTGATAGCATAACTTTGCATTGAATATATGATACTACAATAACTACCTCTACAACTATTATGACCTGGTATCAGGAATTCATAGAAGGTAGGAAATTAATTTGAGCTTATTGCTCTTTGAAAAGCTTTTTTATATGATTGCATACTTACAGTATATTTCCATTTATTTTTAATGTTCTTACACTCAAGGCAAGACAAAATACAGTAATCGTTTTGTTACATGGTTACAAGCACTCAAGAAAAACTTTAAAGATCAAAATATGTTGCTACAACTCATAATAATATACGTACGTTTCTCATCCCCTTGGAACGAGCCCACCAAAACAAAACTCATCTCCAAAACGACAAAACGTCCGTTCAAAATAAATTGCGAGCCAGGGCTACACACTGGCTAAACACAAAACACAAAACTTATTGACTGCCTACCATAATATAAAAAACTTTCTGCAATAACTATGTATTGTGTTACTTAGGCATGCTGAAACGTTGATCTCAGTTCACTAGAATTGGTGTTGAGAACTTTGTGAGTATTGGAAACACATATCAAACTGCATATGTAACTGGGTCCATTCTCCAATCATTTTTAAAGAGATGTATTAAGCAGTGGCTCACTAAGCAGTGTTCATGGCAGGCTTCCCCAAAAAATGTACCAAGAAAAAAACATAAAATAATAACTCTCTGTGTTTCATAATTTCCCTTCAATTCGCAAGAGGCTGAATGTGTCTCACCACAGAAAGCATCCAAGCGAGAGAAACAACTTGAATTGTTGAATCACATTGTGTCATTGTCCTCCGGTGGCTAGCTAGCTTAATTACTTAATTTTCCATACTGGCCAATGATTATAACGGCGATTGTGATCCAACCATAAATTCATACATTGTGCCCCTGGCCTGAGAGGATGGAAGTTCAAAATGTAGCTAGATGTAGTATGCTAATGTTATCTAGCTGGCTCATCGTTGCCCATGAAAGGAAGTTAGGCTAGTGAGCAAGCATTTTAGCCAGGTAACCTAGGACAACAAAAACTTAAAGTGTGTACTTTATGACAGAGTGATAGACCGTTTCCTCAACATGAAAGAGAGGAGGATGGCCTTGGTGTTTCTCTACAAGTAGGGGTGAGTCAACATGTTTTTTTCTACTTGCACAAACAGAGGACAGAGGTTGCTCTCTGGTCTTGTGATGAAACAAAGGTGTGGTTGAATTTATTCTGCCACTGTGTCTTCTATATATCACGGTGGCAAGGCATATGAACTAACAGGTTATAGAGCAAACAATGCAATTATCACAACACATACGTTGTGTAATTTGTAAGTCGCTCTGGATAAGAGCGTCTGCTAAATGTAAATGTTGTAATATGGCTTTTTCTTCCTGACTTGGCTTCCCTAGGGATTTTACCCATGCACCACTTCTGGCATTAAGCTGTCACAGTCCGATCAGAGTTAGCCTAGAGATCAAGATACTTTACAATGTAAATATAAAAGTTACATGGGTAGAATAATGTCATTCTGGGCTTATGGCCATTTTCTGTACATAAAATGTTCAAGGCATTCACGCTTAGTTCCTGTTAAAACTGTTGTTGCTTACTAGAACTTGACTTTGTACTTCGTAAAAAGCTACTGTATGACACTAAAACCATGTTCTATACAATGAGAGTCAAGACATTTGGATCACCTGGTGTGTCTAGTCCATCCATCACTTGCCTATGACCGACAGAAAGTCATCTATTAACGTATAGTAATTGAGGATGGCCTGAGGTGCTCTCAGCAGAACTGGTAGTTGTTATTCTTCATCACCAGGGGCTGCTCCTCTTCTTCCTGGTTCAGTGTCTGATCACAATCCTCACTAATCTTAGCTTGATCATACTGCTCTCCCGCCTCCTGCTGTGGCGTCTCATCCTGCACATTCATGTAGGTCTGGCAGAAGAAAGGATACTTAGTGTCACATTAAAAGTGTTGATGTCCCCAAACCATTTTACCCCACCAAATTATATTATTCTTACTGTAAATACATTTTTTAGGAGTGCAGAAAATCTAGCTTTAGGAAATAATTAGAAGTTAGCGGAATGCTAAGAGAGAGACTGTAAATGTAAAAAGACTCTACAGTGGATTACTGAAGTCCATCTGACCTGGTCTGGCAGGTCAGGCAGTAGCCTCTGGATAAGCTGGCCAATGGTACTGAAGTTTGGACGCGCTGTTGGTTCCATGTTCCAGCACATCTTCATGATGGTGTATCTGAGGAGAACACTCAGTTTCAGATGCTGCAGCAGGTTGTCAGGTTACTTCATCGCTCTTCGCTGATATGTCCATCCTGAAGTATAATACTCACATCTCTGGAGGGGCAAAGTCCGGCTGTGACATGTGGCATCCATCTTTGATCATCTTGTAAAACCGGGTGTCCACCACAACATTAGGGTATGGGCTCTTACCTAGAAATAACAACAAAACATGTATTTAAAAAAAAATATATATATTTCTCACATACTTTGATTCAACATAAGACATAATTTGTGTCATCACATGCCAGTGTGACCCACCCAGAGAGAAGACCTCCCACAGCAGTATCCCATAGGACCAGATGTCACTCTGCACCGTGTACACACAGTCAAATATGCTCTCAGGGGCCATCCACTTCACTGGCAGACGGGCCTGGGAAGGAACATAGTTCACAATCATTGGAGAATCTGAGCTTCCTAAACTAAAGTGATTTCTTTATACAAATTGCATTAACTCACATTTCCTTTCACCACATAGTTGGAGTCATTCTCGATGTCTCGAGCGAGCCCAAAGTCGCAGATCTTAGCCACGCAGCCATCGGTCAATAGGACGTTCCTAGCGGCCACGTCCCTGTGAATGCACTGCAAAGACAACATGGGTTTCACTCATATAAATGACTAAAATGTAAATGTAAAATATAGTCATGTGTCAATCTGCATGTTACACTACATGAGTTGACTTAAATTACAATTGCATTTTTCTATTACGTTTTTGGATGCAAGGAAGTCCATTCCCTGAGCCACCTGATAGGAGAACCTTAACAAGTCTTCTATGTCCAGCGACCAGGTGCCTGTCTCTGGATCCTCACATAAAGAACCTATCAGGGAGAGAGAGAGGAAGAGAGAGACTATATGAGACTTAACAGTGTATATTACCACCCTTCCACTCCACAACCTAGCAGAGAGAAAGATGGAGGAAGAGTGTATAACAACCCGCTCTGTGTTACTGTGGTGTGTAGATGGATGTTGATTACCAAGAGGGCAGTGTTTGGGCCTCTGCGCTGGACGCATGTCCTGGTAGTTGTCTGAGCTGGAGCAGGAGATCCCACTGTCACTGCAGACACATAGAGGACTTAGAGGTTACACTACGGTCTACACTGTACAGGTACACTGAATGGACAAAACATTAAGAACTCTTTCCATGACATAGACTGACCAGGTGAATCCAGGTGAAAACTATGATCCCTTATTGATGTCACTTGTTAAATATACTTAAATCAGTGTAGATGAAGGGGAGGAGACAGGCTAAGGAAGGATATTTAAGCCTTGAGACAACTGAATATTAGGAAGGTGTTCCTAATGTTTTGTACACTCAGTGTATTCTGTGTAGGAATTAAAATGTATGGTCAGTGATAACGTAGAGACCATGACGTGCGTCACGAGGCGTTAATGCCTTGTTAGTATAGAATGTGGATTGTGATACGGCACCACAGAGAGCAATGCATAGAATGAGGGCAGTGGGAGGAGGTTACTGGCTAATAGAATACACAGCTTTGTCACCTGGTTGACAGTACATAAAACATGTGTGGAGACTGAAACTTTGTCTCACATCTATTTTCTCATTTCTCGTTTTGGTGCACTTTCACTAACCCAGAAACCATGTCTCTGCTGGGAGACTGGAGAAAGGAGAGTGAGTTGAGAGTAGAGAGGCATGCTAGTGATCAGTTCAGCCCACCTCCTGACACGAGACTCCTGGGTACATGTGTTCTTGTACTGATAACTATCCCCTGGAACCTCTGGAACCCCTTGTACGCTCAGGATGGAGTCCAGGAACAGCTTGGCCTTGCCACGCAGGAAGTTCAGCAGGTCGCCATGGCTACAGTACTCCGTGATCATCAGCATTGGGCCTGTGGTCGAACACAACAATGAGATGACCGATTTGGTTAACCAATGATACTCACCAACAAGTCATGTTTACCTTCTTCTATGGAAATGCAAGTACAGAAAATAGTTTGTCACACCTCCTTGAGTACATGCCCCCAACAGGTTAACAATGTTGTCATGACATCCCAGGTGACTGAGGATCTTCAGTTCTGACATCAGAGCCTCTCTCTCCTCTGAGTGGGCGCTTGCTGAGGAGAAGTAACTCTTTCATTATTGCATGTACTGAGATACTGCTTCTTCTATGATGGGAACTAATTGCCAGCATGTATCCAATAACAGTTATGTATTTTACAATCATTTTGACTTCCTTCTGTAAATTAAAAGCAATGCTGCAGGGTTAAAGATTTTACAAACAGTATGAGGAGGCTAACTCACGCTTGAGCATCTTTACTGCCACACGGGTGGTCATGTTGTCATCGGTCCCCAGACCATAGGCAGTGGCCTCCACCACTTTCCCAAAAGCCCCTGCTCCCAGAATCTGGCCTGGAACCCAGAGTATTCAGTCAGTCATTACTGTTTCGTGTACTGGTCTCTATTTTAACCCCCAAAACTGCAATAAAACATACCAAGCCTCAGCTTATCACGAGGGAACTCCCACTTCTTGTTATAGGGAAGTTGAGTAGGATCAATGAAGGTGTAGTTATTCCCATCATTGTCCTCAATGATCTTCCACCGGACTTCATATTTGGGTTTCTATGAGAGAAAACATGTGTTGTGTAATGGTCTAACTGCAAACGTATTTGGGCAGTGACAGCCAATGAACGAGCCAGTAAATGCAGCTCACCTGCTTGTATTTGTACAGAACGATGACAAGCAGAAGGAACAGAAAAGCTGCTGTGCTGGTGGCTCCAATGAGAGTGAGGGTGAACAGCTCGGATATTACAGGTGGGATTGAAGCAGGAACATCTAAAACATAGATGCCCTTGAAGTCAGCTCATGACATTATTCAGTACTGCACAGGGACATGAGAAATAACCTGTGGCTGTTTCAGTACTAGTCATAATAAGACACGACCGGCGCCATGTGAGAATCTCGCCAAACTTTTGTTTGTGTAGTGTACTGTATGTCTGTAATCGTCGTCTTACGCGATACGAAGACGTCCCGCTCTTCACCAACCAAGTTAAAGGTCACACACTCCACTGTGACGTCCTCAGTTGAGAGACTGAGGTTCAGCTCACTCTGCACCTCCATGGTGCTGGTGAAGAGACGCTGCACCTCCACCGGTGTCATTGTCCCCATCACACCTGACAACAGAGAAACATCAGGAAGAGCACAGACAGTAGGCCTGTTTCATTTAAGAGTGAAACAGCTCTCTCTGCATCGTGTACTGTGGAAAGCTTTTGTCTTATTGTTATCCAGTTAGAGAACCTACAATCAATCAAATTGAGTTTATAAAGCCCTTTTTACTTCAGCAGTTTTTACACTTACGTGTTTTGTATTCCTGGGCACTGGTACCAGAGGATTGTGGGAGCTGGGTATCCAGAGGAGGTGCAGATCAGGGTGGTGGAATTCTTCAGTCTGAGCATGGCACTGGGTTTCTCTACTCAGTCAGAGAGGACAGACAGCATCACACTGTGTAAGTCATCATCATGTCACTCTCAGGACACGGCACAGTTTTGCTCCATATTTTCTTGCTAGTTTGAATGTTGGTGTGACCGCACAAGCATTTCGCTACACCTGCAACAACATCTGATTTGATTTGATTTGACTTACGGTAGACTTGGATATTGAAGGTGATGGAGCTGTCGAGGCGTGTGCTCCTGGTGTGGAGGGTGTACTGGCCTCTCTCCTCAGACCTCACTCTCTGTAGCAGTAGGCTGCTTTCGTACCTACAGGGTGACAGGACAGGATCAAATAACAGCACAGGCTTCTGTATTTATTCAGCATCTTTTATAAATGATGTGAAACACACATTCAGAAGCAGACAAATCATGTAGAGTAATTATTGGGAAAATAATTACCTGTTATTGCCTCGGACGGCCCATGTGACGTCATGAGTGGAGATGTTGTGACTGTGAGACATGGGCACGTCCCACCACTGCTTCTTGATTTGGGGATAGGCCTCGATCAGAATGCTTATCTCAAGGTTCTCCCCTTCTTTCACTTCAACTAAGGAGCCATTTTGGTAGAGATTTGGTGACAGGCGGGGTATGAGCCTAATGTAAGGCTCATCTGATGAGGGAGAAGGACAAACGGAGAGATAACATTAGAGATAACATTAGAGAACATTATTTTGACCACGAACTTCAACAAAACTTAACATTTTAAAGTTTCACACCACAATTTCCTTTGAGGATGCTGAGCTGAGTTTCACTTTTAAAACAGGTTTCCGTGTTTGGTGTTTGTGAAGATCAACACTAGCCTCGTACTACCATCCTGATCTCGCGGGCTTACATGTTCCCATGTAGCGAAACATATTAGATGTTAACGAAATATGTTAGATGTTAGCTGAACATATTAGATGTTAACGAAACATATTAGATGTTAGCAAAACATATTAGATGTTAGCGAAACATGTTAGATGATGTTAACTAAACATATTAGATGTTTGCAAAACATATTAGATGTTATCGAAACATATTAGATGTTAGCGAAACATATTAGATGTTAGCGAAACATATTAGATGCTAGATCAACACTCCCTTTCCCTAATGCATACCTACGACCTGCAGGTAGGTGGTGGAGCTGTTGGCCCCAGCCTCATTTATGGCTGTACAGGTGAAGTTTCCTGTGTCAGACATGGTCACAGCCGGGATAGTCACTGTACTGGTGATGTGGACCTGCTTGTCCTGGTCCACATCTTGTGAGACTTTCAATGCCTGTATAAAAAAAAATCATAAAAAAGATCTTCAGACATATACTGTATCATACAAGCTAACAGAGGAGACATCTATGATTTAACGACAGAAATTGAGGACAGGTTACTGTGTAACATACTTTGAGAGAGGAATGTTTCCAGGTGACGTTGAAGAAGTGGTTAGGGTTACTGGTGATGCAGGGTATGAGGAGCTGCTCTCCAACAATACTAACATACCCATCTACCTCAATTAACACAGACGGTGGCCAACTCAAACCTGGAACAGACACAGAGAAGTAGATGTGTTTAGATGCTTTACATTTACATTGTAGTCGTTTAGCAGACGCTCTTATCCAGAGCGACTTACAGTTAGTGAGTGCATACATTTCTCATACTACCTTTGTCATTTAGGTCAGACAAGATGTAGTGGTAAAACATGTGGGTACCCTAATGCAAAAAAACACTTATTCACAAAATAAACCCTATTCACAAAAATAAAAAGGTGGGTAAACTGATACATGTATACTACATTAACCCTTATAAAACGGTTAAAAAAAACAAACAACAAAAAACAATAGTAATGCAATGGTCAGCGACCCTGGTGATTGTTGGAGAGCTACTGGACGTGGATGGTTTAGCTCCAGCCCAACACAAAACTACTTCATTCAGTTTATCGAGACCTTGAGTTGATTAGCTCTATCAGGTATTTTGGTGCTGTGTTGGCTGGAGCAAACCCGTGCATACCACTGTAACTCTGCAGGGCCAGGGTGATATTCATTAGTATCAAAGTATCAAAAGGTTTTGCAACGGAAAATGAAGCCCTAGTGAATACAACCCAAGTGGCAATGCCAACTTTAGTATAGGCCTACAGTTGCTATACTTTGGTGTAGTCAGTGCTGCATCAACATTACCATATGAGTTTCCATTTTATAAAACGTTTTAAAGCCATGTCTATCTTTATTTCCCAAACATAATTCATTACAATCACAATCGTTTTAAGCATCTTTTGACACAGGCTTAACACCTATCATACACTTAGTACTTTAAAAAACAACCCTTTTAACCCTTTTAATCCTTTTAACATAAGACTTATATCCCAGCGATAATGCCTTGCATTACGCCTGGAGGGAAAAACACTTATTTTTGCTCAAACTGCCATTAGCTCAACCATTGGCTCAACATACCCCATGGCCATTGGCTCAACATACCCCATTGGCTCAACTTACCCCAAGGCAAACATTTTGACTATATTAGCCCACACAGCTACAACTGTGCTGAATCTACTGCTGTTCAACTTCTCCCCCCTCTGGTCAGGCATTGTAAAAGGAACTAGGAAAGAAAACAGGCCTGTCTACCTATGCACACAGACATTTCAGTCATTTAGCAGACGCTCTTATCCAGAGCGACTAACAAATTATGTCTGATGATGTTACAAAAATGAAATACAGTGCCTTCAGAAGTATTCACACCCCTTGACTTTTTCCAAATGTTGCCGTGCCTTTGGGACTAATAACTTCAATGTCCAACAAATACAAAATGCACAGACATCTACTTCATCTTACTTTTAATGACAATGATGGGGATATCTTTGGAGGATCTTGTGACCCCATTGATCTTTGCGCTGCAGACGTAGTTTTCACTGTGGCTGGTCAGAAGGTGTCTTATCAGGATACCTCTCCTGGGATTGACAGTGTAGTTCATGTCGGGGGGTGTTGGGTCTCCGTTAGCCATACGGAGGGACAGGTCTGTGGCACTGGGGTCTGTCAGCTGACAGAGGAGAAGGTCCCTGCCTTCCTTCACATCTCTCAGGACGCGGGGGGTTACCAGGACGTTATTTGGATCTATAAGGAACATAACAGGTTGAGCAATAAATATGACATTATGTGGTGAGGAAATGTTGACTTAACTTGTGACATATTTGCTGATAAACGTAAAATATTGTGTGTGGCTGTGGCAGCTGGACAGATTATAATAACAATGATCATCTAAAATGTTTAGAGCACATTTCCCACGCTCAACATCCATAAAAGATACTGACCCATTTTATGAAAACACTTACCTTTCACATAGATGTGGACCTCTGAGAACAGGTCTGGTTGGTTGTCAAACGCACACTTGTATGTGCCAGTGTAGTCCGCTGTAAGGGGTATGGTGCCGGTGGTAATCACACTCCCCAGTCTAGTGTTCCTCTTTTTGAACGCTGTGGTAGACCAGGTGACTGTGCTGTCCCCCTCACAGGTCAAGGTGAACGGCGTTCCAACAGGCACAATCCTCTCAGCCTCCCTCAGCACCACAGAGTTCAGCTTGATCACTGGAGGACTTCGCTCTGTCAACAAACCAAAGACAGAACCAGGAATAATCAATCAGGATGATTAGTCCCTCACATGTCCCTCACATGTCCATCACATGTCCCTCACTTACCCTCACATGGCCACTCACATGTCCCCTCAGATGTCCCTCACATGTCCCTCACAAGCCCCTCACATGTCCCCTCACATGTCCCCTCACATGTCCCTCACATGTCCCTCACATTTCATGGAATATAGACATAGATTATGGTAATAATATATTTCAATGAATTATCACATTTGTAACTCTAAAACCTATCTTCTCAGGGATGAACATGTTCAAGTGGATGGCCCCACTGATTTGTATTTATTCAGTTTATATATTTGATCTTCAACTTCAATCAATAAAAAAAAAAAATATGTGAACATTTGTTCAGAGATCTCTCACTTTGACACATTTGTAGGGTGATTGAATGCGTTACGGACAGTTTGTTGTACAAATTGTTGTTTTTCAGGGTGGTGGTCAAAAATGTTTTGAACATTTTAAAGACCTCAACTGAAAACATATATCACTGATTCATCCTTGCATAAGGAGGGTGGAGTAATAGTCAGACAGAATTGAGTCATCAGTAGTAAATGTAGAGCTGGACAGATAGATAGAACATGATCTACCTTGGATGGAAGAGGAAGAACAATTTAAAGCTGCAATATGTAACGTTTTGGGCGACCCGACCAAATTCACATAGAAATATGAGTTATAGATCTGTCGTTCTCATTGAAAGCAGGCCTAAGAAGCGGTAGATCTGTTCTATGTGCGCTATTTCTATGCTTCCTGTTCTTAAGTTTAGTTTTTGCGTCTTTTACTTTCTCGTTTGTACACCAGCTTCAAACAGCTGAAATTACAATATTTTGGGTTATTGAAATGTTATTTCACAGCGGTTTGGATTCTGCCATGATTCTCTACATTGCTTGTTTTATCACATTAACTGAAATTAGGCTAACTATTAGAATTTTAGCAACCAGGAAATTGTGGAGCTCCACAAAGAAGACTTGTAAAATAAATGTTATTTTGAATCTGTTTATTTGGTTTTTAGGCGATTCAGACAGTGATGCTATACATTGGTAATCAATCATGGATGTTCTAATCTAAAACAGTCAAAAATAAACAAATCAGATCATGTGATTTAGTATTGGGATATCAGACTGTGATTGGTTCATCAGTTCATTGTTAAATCCATACAAGCAAATTGACTTTATCAGTGCATTCTCTATTGTATGCCTTATTGACCAAGCTTGGTTTAGTAGCAGGTTATTGCCCACAATCTGAAACTGGATTGAACTGCTGCTTAGTTTGTTATGAAGATTATTCATCCTGATTGGACAGCCTGTCTCATGCAGGTTAAGATCTGAGCGTCTCATTGGCTGTCAGCGTTGGGTTTCTTGGCCAGTTCCTGGAGGTGGGTGGAGATGCGAGACACCTGTAGCAGCAGGGCCTGGTGGTTCTCCACCAGGAGACTCTGGTGTCTGCCCAGGTTCTGCAGGTCATTCAGGTGCTGAGCTCCCTGGTCCTTCATGGCCGTCAGCAGCTTGACGACCTCCCTCTGGCCGCTGGACACCTCTCGGTGCTCCTGGACCAGCTGAGACAGCACCTTGACCACCTCTACTCTCCAGCTAGCAGCTTCTCGCTGGTCCTGGGTCAGTTGGGAGAGTAACTGTTTCAGCTCGTCCACTCCACAGCAGAGAGACGTAGGGGCCACCACCGGGTCTGGAGGAGTCTGACTGGACTCTGGGTTGGCTGGGAGGAAGACTGGTTTAAGGGCCCCCATGGTCATGCCAACTGGTTCACTGGCAGGGGGTTCTTTGTCACCTGAAAGAGGGTGAAAACACATTGTCTCATTGTTGAATGTTGAGTGAAGACTTCCCATTTTAACACGCCAACAAACCTGCAAGAAAAAATACATTTTATTTGACTGTACAACACAGTATTTCACTTGTATTGTATAAAATAAAATAAATGGACATCAAACAATCCACTTACTTTGAATCAGTGAAGCTCATCATCTTGAATTTCTCCTTTGTCAGGCATGATACCAACACTTCAGTACCAAAGTTATGTCATTTGCTGTTACTGACCTGACAGAATTTTATCATATGGTGAATTATGAGTTATTTCAATGGTAATGCCTTAGAGATCATCCATAGAAAAGGGGTAAGATTCAAGGAAAATGTAATTTCTTGGTATACATCAACGTCACCAGCGAGAATTATTTTGCAATAAACGCATTTCTGACTATTTCATATTTGAGTGGTTTTTTTCAGGGAGAAAGGGGAAATGAGAGTGTTCCTGAGCTGGTTTAAGTGTATTTTTGTGTGTGGAAACGTTTTAAACGAAACCCCCGATAGCGTCTAGCTCCAGGAAACACATTGTGCTGGGGACTTGCTGGACGGATCCAGGTCTCGGGGGGCCTGTTTCCCATTCCCACTCTCACTTCTGCTTTTTCTGGGGAGGTGGCGGAGTGGGGGGACCCACCAGGAGCTGGACAGGTTCTGTTAGCTCTGTGTGTCCCCCACCGTGATCCCCCTGTCCCCCCTGCTCTCCGATGTCAGAACCCACAAAGCTAAACACCTGCTCTCACTGTAACAGTCTTGGCTAAAGGAGAATACCTCAAAGTCACTGACATTTTATCCATTTGAGTCCAAATTCTGTTACATCCATGGTTACATTTTTATGTTTAAAATGTAATTAAGATTAAATTGCATGTATCTATAGTGTTAAATATTTAAAACAAACATATTTGACTGTTATAATGCCCATTTTATCTATGCAAAATACAATAAAACTATGGTAATTTTTTATCAAAACAACACATGAACATATGATACATTTTAGTGAATATTGACAGCACCATGAGATTTAAATGTCTCGTTGGTTAAAAAATCACAACATATCCTCTGAACAATATTCAGAGAACAAAGGAGCTGATTTTAAACTACTTCCTACAATATCACTAGGGTAGCATTGATTAATGTGCTTACCTTGGGCTGTGCAGAGCATAATGCCCAGGAAAAGGGCCAGGAAGAGCATATTCTGTCCCTCTCACTGTCTCTGTCTGTCTATCTGTCTGTCTCTGTGTAGTCTGTCCGCTCTACTCAAGGGTTGTTAAGGAACTAGTTGACTGGGGTGGCTTGTAAGTCCTGATATCCTCATGCCGTCACAACTTCCCCAAACTCACCTCCCACAGTGCTTACAGCCAGTACATGTTAAAGTAGTTTGGGTGTTCTGAATTATTTTGATGGATGAATCATTGTCTTTTAGTAGTATAACAACGTTTAGACAATGTTTTAACACATGGTCAGTTAAATCAGACATGAGTGGAAACAAGAGTAAACATCTTTATTACATATATTTTAAATATAAATAAGCAAATGCCGCTAATTAAAAGACATGAAAAACCATTAAAACATAATGAAAACTATGTCATTTAGTACATCTCAAGAAATTGCATGTGAAGTATCAAATGCCCTTTCAATGTGTCTGAGCTGACACACTCAAGGACACTTGCCATAGGCCTTTCAGTATAGAGCTGGAAGTTCAACAGCTTTCTGTACAAGACAATGCTCTAGCCAGGCAAAAAGATTAGGCACAACAAAGATACGCTGTACTATTTATGAAACATGTAACATCACAAATGAATTCTGACATTTACAATCAGTGCCTTTAATATGCTACTGAAACCTGATGGAACAACCCTGACCAACAAATAGCATGAGTACCCTTAGATAGGGTAGACCTGCCTTTAGTTTTGTTACACCTTACGTGTGGATTGATCTACAATACACTTTAACATTTGAAGAATTGGTGCCTCTAGGGCCTTTCAAGAATGTCTGTTTATGATTGTGTTTGCTTAATGTGTGTTGTGTATAATAACGTCTATTTAAATGTGTATATGAATGTGCATTTTGTATTTTAATGTGTATTGTTGTGCTAAACAGGGCTCATCTGGAAAATAGACCTTGGTCTCAGCATCGACTCCCTGTCAACATAAAGGTTAAATAAAAATGTAGTGCTTAATGTTTTTCATCAATTATACAAAACATAATTTAGTCTTAAATTGATAAGGCATTTGATGAGAATGAGAAATGCAAATATAAGAGGCGCAATACTGCAAACTTACAGACGTAGGATCTTAATTTGAGCCTGTTTGCTACAGCAGGAAAATAATCCTGCAGCAACAGGAAATGTGAATTATTATGTGGACTATAATTAATGGACATTTTTGTAAGGGTTGATACATTTTTTGTATGGGAAAATCAAGTCTGAAATTTCGAAGTGGAAATAAAAAATGTCAGAAGCCCTTTTAAACCTCAAATACACTACAAGTTCTCCTGCAACAGGGTGATCAAATTAAGATCCTACATCTGTACATTCTAAATAAATTATGTATTCTCTCTTCAAATATACTTATCTTTACAGTTTGGCAACTTCAATTAGATACAAATTGTATATAATATGACCATATCCATTGGCATTCGTCAAACTGCTGACGCTGTTTTTTGTAAATCATAAAATTAAAAGGGAAAGAGTACCTCAAAGATATATATCACCAATATACAAAAATAATAATGAGAAAAATAGTAAGATAATGTGTTTAGAGTGTTTAACTAATATACATTGTCCTGTACAGTAGACACCTTTAACATCAGCTCCCTAATGAGGCTACAGGAAACTCTCCTCCACTTCAGGGGTGCATGGAGACTGGGGGAGCTCGTCTTCTTGTGTTGGGGCAGATACCTCTTCCTCTGTGCTGGCTACTGGCTCTTCTAGGGAGGTTTCTGGCTCTAGGGAGGCTGTATCAGTATCATTCTGGTCAGTCGTGGTAGGAGGGCTAACAATGGAAGGTAGCAGAAAAAAAACAGTGGTTTTACTTTATTGCGGCTTTATTACTGTCAGATGAAAATCAATAGAACGGTGTTATCATAAGCCTGAGTGTGGCTGGCCAATTATTGATAACAATAAGCAAGAAAAACAAAAACCCAACGTCCAAAAAGCTTTGAAGGAAAGCTGACATGACATGAGGCAGTGCAGAATTGGGCAATCCTCAAATGCTGCCCCTGACTCATGCAGTCACACTTCCTGTGGCAAACTGGCAGCCACCGGGTTCACAGAATAGACACACACTCTGTGGAGAGAATGTCCTGTGATACCTTGATGTACTCTGTGTGGCGGTGTCCAGCACCTCACCACTTCCTGCTTCTGCCTCTATGGCTACATGGATATCTGGGACGTCGATGATGTATTCAGTCTGGGAGGGGCCAGCCTCCTCCCAGGTCTCCCCTGTCTCCTGCCCTGCTAGATCCCCCGGGGAGACCAAGGAGACGTCCTCTGGAGACACAGCCATGTTCCCTGCTGGTCTAGGTTTGGTCTTGACTATAGCTGGGTGGTCGCTCTTCAGAAAGCTCTCATTCACCTGGGTGTATTTCTGGGACGGTTTGGAAATGATATGTATCTATTAATTGTAGATATACATGAGAAATCAACATATTAAATCGCCGTAGTGTTGAGGATTATCTATCACGGATGTCGGTACCTTTCTATAAGCCTTAGACAGCAGGTTTCCCATCGAATGAACCAGAGAGGAGAACTGTGGCCTCTTCTCCAATTTCTCATCCCAACACTTGCACATGACATCATAGCTGAAAGAAACAAAATCAAACTCAGAGTTAATGTCACCTCGTCCTATGTTTTACTTACAACCACAATCATTCCTACAGACAAAGAGAGACGGACGAGGCCTCACATCTCGTCTGTAGCATGAGCGGGTTTGGCCATCCTATAGCCTGTGTAAAACTGTTGATTCATGGGAATATCAGGATAGGGTGTTCCTCCTGAAGTTAGGCAAAAACAGAGCACATACCTAATATCAAGGCAAAAACAGAGCACATACCTAATATCAAGGCAAAAACAGAGCACATACCTAATATCAAGGCAAAGACAGAGCACATACCTAATATCAAGGCAAAGACAGAGCACATACCTAATATCAAGGCAAAAACAGAGCACATACCTAATATCAAGGCAAAAACAGAGCACATACCTAATATCAAGGCAAAAACCAAGACACATACCTAATATCAAGGCAAAAACAGAGCACATACCTAATATCAAGCCAAAAACAGAGCACATACCTAATATCAAGACATGCATTCATAAATGACCTCTAGTTGCAATAAAGAAACAATCAAAATACGTCCATAATATGCAGAGAATATTATATTTACCCAGAGTAAAGATCTCCCAAAGCAGAATGCCAAAAGACCAAACATCGCTCAAGGTTGTGTAGATGTTCTGGAAGACACTCTCTGGAGCCATCCACTTCAGTGGCAGGAATGTCTACAATATCAGAGACAAACATGAATATATGCCATTTAGCAGACGCTTTTATCCAAAGCGACGCTTTTATCCAAAGCGACATTCAGTCATGCGTACTGTTAGGTAACCATTGAGCTACAGAGGACATTAGGTAACCCATTTTAGGTTAAGACAGGTGCAATATAGAATTACAGGTGTACTTGTGGCAAATGGCATTCTGTTTGTGGTACAGCGACAATACTTGACATTGTTTTGGTAGTCTGACCAAAGTCCTGTACCGTCTATACCATAATGACTCTGGGAAAGCTGTTTCACATCCTCTCCTGATCTACCACCAAAAAAAAAAAAACCAGCCAAGAAAATAACCTGAGTTCACAGCCCAGATATCCCATAACTGAACTACATTTCTGGCAACAACAACTTCAATCCAGTGGGAAGTTTTAGCATTTAAAAACCCTCAGAACATATTATATGCCAGCTTTTTTACCTAAAACATATTTTATACTCAGGATGTACAGAATTAACCAGCAAGACAGCAGATCTGTAAAGATATAAAAAATAAAAAAAAGCTTAAACCAGTTTGCACAAAGTGCGTCACATTAACCCACGCCTGGAAGTTCCTTATAAAAACAGCCTTTCAGTTTCAATCACTTTCACCTCAGAACATAATGGCTGTTTGATGGTTTCTTCCCCTCCATTACTTAGTACACACCAGGGGCGCAACTTTGGTTTTAGAAGTGGGATGACATAATCATATATTTTTTATCCAGCCGGATAAACACTCCAAACAGCCTACCCGACCGCTCGGAGGCGTACGCATGGTCCTAAAGCACACCGTTGCCTCGTTTTGTACCACATTCCAATGATAAAACTGGGGGAACAAAAATAGAATTTCAGAATGTGGGGGGGGGGGGACATGTTTCCTCACGCTCACCCTCTCTATCTCTGTTCAATAAAGTCAAATACCTTAAACATACTCACACTGCCTTTGTCTATGTAGTTGGAGTCATTCATGAGGTCACGGGCCAGGCCAAAGTCACAGATCTTAACCAGCTTTCCCTCACAGATGAGAACGTTTCTGGCAGCCAGGTCATGGTGAACACACTGTGAGGACAGGGACAACAGTTCAGACAAGCTGTTATTGAAGTGTCATGTGGGTTCACTAAGATAATTTCCACGTGGCATCAGTAATTAATGAATGTTTGATGTGACATGGCATGAAATGTTATTACGTGATACTGTATGAATAAGAATGGATTGTGAAACTATTCCATATGTTAGTTGAATCTGTTAAAGCGGATATAGACAAGCTGTAATGAGTCATACGTTCTTGGATGACAGGAAGTCCATGCCCTTAGCCACCTGGTAACTGAACCCCACTAGATCGGTGTAGCTCAGAACAGGGGAGTCATTGATAGACGTCGCCACGTCTGCTCTCTCTTGGCATGAGCAACATAACAGAGAACGAACAATAGTCACAAACTATGAGACAAACTGTGCAGACAAATTAACAACTGATGGTTTTGATCAAAGTACTGTTTAAAGGCAATGTCTGGTTACAAATGAGGTTGAAACATGAACAATATCTTATTATGGAAGCTGCTTGCATGTCAAAAATCAAGGTGGAGAGAGAGGCTTCCCTATTTTGGTCTCTTCAGCAGCATTTCAACATCAGAGACAGGGTCTACCCGCCATCTGTTTGACAGGGATGTTGAAATGCCTCCAACACACTATATCAGGCTGAGGGTTAGTGTTGTTTCAACTATATCAGGCTGAGGGTTAGTATTGTTTCCACTATAACAGGCTGAGGGTTAGTATTGTTTCCACTATAACAGGCTGAGGGTTAGTGTTGTTTCCACTATAACAGGCTGAGGGTTAGTATTGTTTCCACTATAACAGGCTGAGGGTTAGTATTGTTTCCACTATAACAGGCTGAGGGTTAGTGTTGTTTCCACTATATCAGGCTGAGGGTTAATGTTGTTTCCACTATAACAGGCTGAGGGTTAATGTTGTTTCCACTTCAGCAGGCTGAGGGTTAGTATTGTTTCCACTATAACAGGCTGAGGGTTAGTATTGTTTCCACTATAACAGGCTGAGGGTTAGTATTGTTTCCACTATATCAGGCTGAGGGTTAGTATTGTTTCCACTATATCAGGCTGAGGGTTAGTATTGTTTCCACTTCAGCAGGCTGAGGGTTAGTATTGTTTCCACTATATCAGGCTGAGGGTTAGTATTGTTTCCACTATAACAGGCTGAGGGTTAGTATTGTTTCCACTATAACAGGCTGAGGGTTAGTTTGTTTCCACTTCAGCAGGCTGAGGGTTAGTATTGTTTCCACTATATCAGGCTGAGGGTTAGTATTGTTTCCACTTCAGCAGGCTGAGGGTTAGTATTGTTTCCACTATATCAGGCTGAGGGTGTCACGATCGTCATACATAGAGGAGGACCAAGGCGCAGCGTTGAAGGCGAACATATTTATTTATGATAATGATCACACGATCAAAACAACAAAACGATGACGTGACAGTCAATAGTAATACACAAACCAAATACGAACAAGAAACCACAAAGAAAGAGTGCCAAACGGCTACCTAAGTATGACTCCCAATCAGAGACAACGAGCTACAGCCGTCTCTGATTGGGAGCCACCCTGGCCAACATAGATCTACAAAACCCAGAAAGTGAAACCTAGAACACACATAGACTATACACACCCTGGCTCAACATATTAGAGTCCCCAGAGCCAGGGCGTGACAGTACCCCCCCCTAAAGGCGCGGACTCCGACCGCGCCCACCAAACACCACAGGGGAGGGACCGGGTGGGCACTCCGCTTAGGCGGCGGATCCGGCTCCGGGCCTGATCCCCGCTCCCTCTCCAACCCCCCAAAGTACCCCTGGTCCGGTCTGGCCCCGCTGGCCGGAGCTGGACTGCACACTGGTGGAGCGGATTGCTCTAGCTCCGGCGTAAAGCATCTGACTGGTGCCGGACCAGCCACCAGTGGAACAGGCACGGGCCGTGCCGGACTGACGACGCACACCACTGGCTTGGTGTGGGGAGCAGGAGCGGGCCGAGCCGGGCTGTCGAAGCGCACCACTGACTTGGTGCGGGGAGCAGGAACGGGCCGAGCCGGGCTGACGAAGCGCACCACTGACTTGGTGCGGGGAGCAGGAACGGGCCGAGCCGGGCTGACGAAGCGCACCACTGACTTGGTGCGGGGAGCAGGAACGGGCCGAGCCGGGCTGACGAAGCGCACCACTGACTTGGTGCGGGGAGCAGGAACGGGCCGAGCCGGGCTGACGAAGCGCACCACTGACTTGGTGCGGGGAGCAGGAACGGGCCGAGCCGGGCTGACGAAGCGCACCACTGACTTGGTGCGGGGAGCAGGAACGGGCCGAGCCGGGCTGACGAAGCGCACCACTGACTTGGTGCGGGGAGCAGGAACAGTCCGGACCGTACTGGGGACACACACCACTGGTCCTACGCCGGGATCTGGAATGGGCCGGACCGGACTGGTAACACACCCCAGTACCTCTCGCCGTGCCTCTACACCTTCCACCCCCTCTTCGACCAGTGGCCCCCGTAACCTGGCGGCCTCCTCTGCCAATCCGCTGGGCCGCTCTGCCGCGGTCTCCTGCTGGCCCGTCGTCCACGGCGTTAGCCCCCCCCTAAAAAATTTCTGGCCGTCTCTCCTACCCGTGGACCAGGTCTCCATGTCCCTCGCCAGCCTTTCGCCCTTCTGCCACAATGTCAAGCCCTTCTCTTCCTCACTCGGCTTGACCCAGTCGAGGAGGCGAAGGAGATCTGCTAGAGATCTCCCTGGCGATGGCTCCTGGACACGCTGCTTGGTCACATCTTGGTGGTTTCTTCTGTCACGATCGTCATACATAGAGGAGGACCAAGGCACAGCGTTGAAGGCGAACATATTTATTTATGATAATGATCACACGATCAAAACAACAAAACGATGACGTGACAGTCAATAGCAATACACAAACCAAATACGAACAAGAAACCACAAAGAAAGAGTGCCAAACGGCTACCTAAGTATGACTCCCAATCAGAGACAACGAGCTACAGCCATCTCTGATTGGGAGCCACCCTGGCCAACATAGATCTACAAAACCCAGAAAGTGAAACCTAGAACACACATAGACTATACACACCCTGGCTCAACATATTAGAGTCCCCAGAGCCAGGGCGTGACAGAGGGTTAGTATTGTTTCCACTATAACAGGCTGAGGGTTAGTATTGTTTCCACTATATCAGGCTGAGGGTTAGTATTGTTTCCACTATAACAGGCTGAGGGTTAGTATTGTTTCCACTATATCAGGCTGAGGGTTAGTATTGTTTCCACTTCAGCAGGCTGAGGGTTAGTATTGTTTCCACTATATCAGGCTGAGGGTTAGTATTGTTTCCACTATATCAGGCTGAGGGTTAGTATTGTTTCCACTATATCAGGCTGAGGGTTAGTATTGTTTCCACTATAACAGGCTGAGGGTTAGTTTGTTTCCACTTCGGCAGGCTGAGGGTTAGTGTTGTTTTCACTATATCAGACGTGTTGTTTGTAGGCTGCTTACCATAATAGGCAGAGATCAACCAAGCTTTCATCAAAACATCTGTAAACAGAATGGCAATCAATGCCTTCAGAATCAATGCCTTCTGTTTATAATTGATATTTAGTTGCTATGAACAGGCATCGCTACCTTGTCCTTGGTTGCTGTCCTGATGGTAGGTTGTCTCATAGACTGACGGCTCAATGTCTGCATACTTGATGTTATCGCTCAGCTCTTGCATGGGGACAACATTTAAAGAATCCTCCTTGGTCATGTCCATGTAACCCCCATCGCTCTCTCTGCCAAACACAAAGGGGCACAAATGTCACGCAACAGTAAGTGACAGTATGTCTTTGATTGTGAAGTCAGTAGTGTGTATTTTGGAGGGAAGCAGTCTTGCCTTTTTGGGGGGATTTGGACTGCACTCTCTGTGCTGTTGCTGCACATGTCAGCATCCCTGTGGTTTCTATCTGCGTAGGACTGCAGGAAGGTGTGCTTGTTGTGGTGGAGGTAGTCAGCCAAGTTGCCATAGCGACAGTACTCAGTTATTAGGTAAATAGGTCCTTCAGGACAGAGAAAAATGGGGCAGTTGTTAACACACACACTTTGGCTGACATATGGTAATATGTTAAGGCCTAGATTCAATCCGGACCGCGGAAGATCTGCGTTATAGCGCGATTGACATTTAAAGGTAATTTCCAATTGAGCCGACATATGCAGCGTTTATCATGAATACGGTTTCCACGAACACAAAAACATTGCCATTAAAAGGTGCACAGACAAAAAAAGAGAATTCGATTGAATCTAACCCTAAGTCGTTAAAGTAGTGGTATGTTTCCCAGTTCCCACCTCGTTTGGTACAGGCCCCCAGTAGGTTGACGATGTTCACATGGGGCCCAAGGTGACTCATTATTTTCAGCTCAGATATCAGAGCCTGAGTCTCACTGCTTCTCGCTGTGGCTGTAAGTCAAAGGTAATAGGAGAACACACAGCGTTGCAATATTATTCAGTGGTAGAGAAAGAGGACATAGGTCTGTGGTTTGTGTGTAAAATTGAGGAAATGTTTTGAAGATGTTGGTAAAGCATAAAGCACTCACACTTGAGCATCTTCACAGCCACTTTGGGGGTGGACTGGGTGTGACCAAGTCCATATACTGTGGCCTCCATGACCCTCCCGAACGCTCCAGATCCCAGAGTGTGACCTAGTGTGACAGAAAATGAGGTGTACTGTTAGCTTAGCTAATGCCAAATCTATCAATAAAGTATGATTTATACAGTATATAGGCTACAGTATTCACACAATTATGCTAAAACAGATTTCCTGAGTTGTAGTATTCCCTCACCCAGGACCAGGCTGTCTCGGGGCACCTCCCACTCACAGTCATAGGGCAGGTGCATAGGGTCGATGTAGGTGCACTCATGGCCGTCTGAGCTCACTGACTCCATCACCTTCCATCGAATCTCATAGCGGGGCTTCTGAAGGCAGAGACAAAAGCCTGTCACAGTTTTATAAATGATATATATATATATATATATATGATATACTTTATTGTCCCCGACGGGAGATGTGTCTTGGACAATTAAAGAGTGCTGCGGATTCCACATAAATACATAGAATCAAATTGATTCGGCATACATAGAATAACATGACCATCATATACCCACACAAATGTTTGTTATGTCATCAAGGCTGTGACTTAGGTGGCAGTTCAGTTCCACATGAAGACCATTTAGACCTACTGGCCAGACTCCAGTCATCATCCCTAATGTCACAGTCTCATCTTTCAACAGTAGCGTCACTATCAAGACAAATGTGATGGGAAGTGACTTTGGGTCCTTGAAAAGCACTATATATGATAAGGCCCATGTATTAGTATTAGGAGATGGAGATGGATTTCTGTGTGTGCGTCACCTTTCTCCAGAGGGCGATGAGGATGATGAGGAAGATGACGGTAATGACCACCAGGGCTAACACTGCAGCCAGCACAGCCACCTGGGAGAACAGAGCTGCGGACACACACAGAGAGAGAGAAGGAGCTCATACAACAGGTGGTCCTCTGTAGCTCAGTTGGTAGAACATGGCTCTTGCAACACCAGGGTAGTGGGTTTGATTCCTGGGACCACCCATATGTAAAATATGTATTTGGATAAAAGCGTCTGCTAAATGACATATTATACACTCTGTTAGTCAAAGAGTATTTTCATCAGTTAATCAAAAGTTATTTGACATCAGTTGTTGATAGTTACTGAAAATACTTATTTTCATTGTGTCATAGTCATTGACTTTAACTAATGCTGAGTCAGTGCTTACAGTTGGAGACGAGTTTGATATCCCAGGCCCTGCGACCTCTGTCGTTGCGGGCCTCACAGCGTACTGACATAACACTCTCCATGGTCTGAAAGGTCAACAGGCTGTGGACCTGGTAGACTCCTGAGGTCTCAATGCAGCTCACGTTCACCTGGATGCTGACGTTGTCTGGATCAGCCAGAAGAGGCTTCCATGCTGTGGTCTTACTGCTGCATCTGGGTGATGAGGTCATAATTGTGGATTATCTTGGTGGTGAGTTGGGGTCAATTCCATTTCAATTCCAGTCAATTCAGAAAGCAGACCAAATTCAAATTCCACTTCCACATTTTCTTCATTGAAAAGCATTGAAGAGAATTGGAATTGGAATTTCAGTTTACTTCTTGAATCGACTGGAACTGAAATGTAATTGACCCCAACCCTGGAAAATATGCTTGTTCAGTTTGTGAGACTTTCTATCTAAGTGAAATATTGGGTGACTGAAAAAAACACTATAGACTATTGAGTGTCTAAAATAAGCAACAGGTCTAACAATTACGACTCTAATGTTTACGGCTGTGACCCTAGTGCTGCACTACCCTCTACAGTTTGAGAGGAGAAAGTCGCAACACAACTGAAGAGGCTGAATATGCTTCATTGTGTTTGTATTTATTACGTTCCCATGCCTTCACAGCTGTACCAGTGAATGGTGGGCGTGGGGACCCCCTCTGTGACACAGAGCACACCGTGGCCCTGGTCCATGTGCTGGTCAGACAGATCTATTATCTTCGAGGGAGCTGCAGGGAGAGGGAATATCCCATGAGACTGTGAAAAGTAAGTAGTGAAACATAGGTAGATCATTGTTTTATCACTAGAAATAAACTGTTCAACATCCTTTAAATTCCAATGTGATAACTCAATAAAGTAAAATGGCTGAGTGAATTGTGATCCCATCTGTAATGTAGACACGTCTAATGCTCCAGAGCGGATAATAATATCTCAGCTGTGTATGTATCTTACCCTTGACCTGCAGGTTAAAGGTTATCTCTTTGACGTCATCTTCATTGGCCACCTGGACGGTGTAGAGACCCATCTGTTCCATCCTGACCCTTACCAAGGTCAGAGTACTGAGGTAACTGGAGGTCAAAGGTCAAAAGGAACAGAACGCAATCAATATCAATACAACTTTATTGTCCATGTTACAGCGAACAACAGAAATGTGTCTAATTCTATGTATTTATCATGGGGCTTATGCATTGATTGTCATCATAATCAAATATTTTATTCCGTTGGGATGTACATGACATGTATGATGGGTACCTGGTCTTATGCACCTGTTTGGTGTCTATGGATACCGTGTCCCCAGCGAGGGTGGTGTTGTCTCTGGTCCATAGCACCTGAGGTTTGGGATACGCTTCGATCTGCACTGTGAGCTCAATGCTCTCGTACTGCATCGCTGAAACATTGGTGCTGACGGAAGGTTCCAAGTCCACAAAGCCCCGTTCTGTAACATGGCATTGGGATAGAAGATTACTACCTTATAGATACATGACAAGAACCTCAATCAGTTAGTGACTTTCCAAAACAGAAGTACACAAAGCCCATTGAGCCCCCAATGCATAGTATTTCCGCTTTTTCAGTTGATGAATTAAAAAGTGTTACTAGGCTAATGTTGTGAGTTTGGAAAAGCTTTGAGGGCTCAATGGGCTCACCCAGAACAGTGCCAGTGAGATGAACCATGGCTGACTGTCCTGACATGGTGTCCTGTACCCGGCAGATGTACTGGCCAGAGTCCTCCAGAGTAGCACTGGAGATGTTCAAGAAGGAGCGGATTCTGAGCTCCCGGTTCCCAGATAGAAAGTCTGTCAATGGCTCAATTATCTTCAGATGGAAACAAAATATAACAAAAGTAAGAACAGCTTAGCAACAGCATAATTATCAACAAAAAGGAGTTGATTATGCTTGGTAATATGTGTCACATATAATCAGGGGCGCAACTTTGGTTTTAGAAGTGGGGGGGACATATTATTATTATTTATTTTTTATCCAGTCGGATAAACACTCCAAACAGCCTACCCGACCGCTCGGAGGCGTCCTCATGGTCCTAAAGCACACCGTTGCCTCGTTTTGTATCACATTCCAATGATAAAACTGGGGGGGACAAAAATGAAATTTCAGAATGTGGGGGGGACATATCCCCCCCGTTCCCAGTGAAAGTTGCGCTCCTGCATATAATCATTCACACAATAGTTCACTCACCTCTTTACGAGGAAACTCCCATCTGAAGTAAACTATCGCTACTTTTTCTACAGTACAATTAACCATCAAGGCCTCGCCTTGTTTCAGCACCGTCTTTGAGAGAGTCATAAAGGTGTTCATGGACTTGGGTACTGGATAGAATAAAACGGAAAGACAGAGGACATCATAACAGGCCCAACATTCATGCGGGCTGGTCTTCAAAAGCATTTTACAGCTAGCTTTTTAAAGACCATTTTAAGAGATCTATTAAGTCACTTCCTTTTGGTCAAAGTTTCACTTTGAGGGTTGTGTTGAGGGTTAGTCCTCTGTAGCTCAATTGGTAGAGCATGGCGCTTGTAACGCCAGGGTAGTGGGTTTGATCCCCGGGACCACCCATACATAAAAATGTATGCACACATGACTGTAAGTCGCTTTGGATAAAAGCGTCTGCTAAATGGCATATTATTATTATTATTGACACAGAGCCTTACCCATAGTGCTGTGGACATAATACACCTGGGATGCCTTCTCCTCTCCGTTCATGGCACCTCGGCAGATGTAGGAGCTGTCTTTCAGGACGGCGGTGAACCCTTTACTGGGATGATATGTTCCTTCCACAGGGGCCTGGCTGGCCCGCTCATACAGGGTCACGTTAACGCCGGGGTCAGACACCACGCAGGGAATGGTACCTTCCTCTCCCTCCTTCATTACTACTCCTGGCCCCAGGGGAACAAACCATTCCTCCGGGTCTGAGGGGGAGGACAGAGGTCAGGTATACAGTACCAGTCAAAAGTTTGGACACACCTACTCGTTCAAGGGTTTTTCTTTATTTTTTACTATTTTCTACATTGTAGAATAATAGTGAAGACATTAAAACTATGAAATAACACCTATGGAATCATGTAGTAACCAAAAAAGTTAATTTGTGGAATTTATTTCCTTCTTAATGTGTTTGAGCCAATCAGTTGTGTTGTGACAAGGTAGGAGGGGTTATACAGAAGATAGCCCTATTTGGTAAAAGACCAAGTCCATATTATGGCAAGAACAGCTCAAATAAGCAAAGAGAAACGACAGTCCATCATTACTTTAAGACATGAAGGTCAGTTAATACAGAAAATGTCAAGAACTTTGAAAGTTTCTTCAAGTGCAGTCGCAAAAACCATCAAGCGCTATGATGAAACTGGCTCTCATGAGGACCGCCACAGGAAAGGAAGACCCAGAGTTACCTCTGTTGCAGAGGATAAGTTCATTAGAGTTACTAGCCTCAGAAATTGCAGCTCAAATAAATGCAACATCAACTGTTCAGAGGAGACTGTGTGAATCAGGCCTTCATGGTCGAATTACTGCAAAGAAACCACTACTAAAGGACACCGATAAGAAGAAAAGACTTGCTTGGGCCAAGAAAGACGAGCAATGGATATTAGACCAGTGGGAATGTGTCCTTTGGTCTGGAGTCCAACTTGGAGATTTTTGGTTCCAACCGCCGTGTCTTTGTGAGATGCAGTGTGGGTGAACAGATTATCCATGCATGTGTATTTCCCACCTTAAAGCATGGAGGAGGGGGGGTTATGGTGTGGGGGTGCATTGCTGGTGACACTGTTACCTGGCCTCCACAATCCCCCGACCTCAACCAAATTGAGATGGTTTGGGATGAGTCGGACCGCAGAGTGAAGGAAAAGCAGCCAACAAGTGCTCAGCATATGTGGGAACTCCTTCAAGACTGTTGGAAATGCATTCCAGGTGAAGCTGGTTGAGAGAATGCCAAGAGTGTGCAAAGCTGTCATCAAGGCAAAGGGTGGCTATTTGAAGAATCTCAAATATAAAATATATTTTGATATGTTTAACACTTTTTTTGTTTACCACATGATTCCATATGTGTTATTTCATAGTTTTGATGTCTTCACTATTATTCTACAATGTAAAAAATAGGAAAAATCAAGAAAAACCCTTGAATGAGTAGGTGTCCTAAAACTTTTGAGCGGTAGTGTATGTCCACCATATGGAAGGGAAGTCAATTGTGAAACCAGCACTGATTTGTATTAGCTTTGAATTGTCACAGTTTGTCCTTCCATCGTCCTCCTGTAATTGATTCATGGCCTATGATGGCCTAGAATGGTCTAGGATGGCCTAGGATGGTCTAGGATGGTCTAGGATGGGCTAGGATAGTCTAGGATGGCCAAGGATGGTCTAGGATGGCCTAGGATAGTCTAGGGTTGCATAGAATGGCCTAGGATGGTCTAGGATGGGATGGTCTAGGATGGTCTAGGATGGGCTAGGATAGTCTAGGATGGGCTAGGATGGCCTAGGATAGTCTAGGATGGGCTAGGATGGTCTAGGATGGTCTAGGATGGCCTAGGATGGGCTAGGATGGTCTCGGATGGTCTAGGATGGGATAGGATGGTCTAGGATGGTCTAGGATGGGCTAGGATAGTCTAGGATGGGCTAGGATGGCTTAGGATAGTCTAGGATGGGCTAGGATGGTCTAGGATGGTCTAGGATGGCCTAGGATAGTCTAGGATGGGCTAGGATGGTCTAGGATGGGATAGGATGGCCTAGGATAGTCTAGGATGGTCTAGGATGGTCTAGGATGGGATAGGATGGTCTAGGATGGTCTAGCTGTCTATGCCGCTGCCTCCGGATCACATCTAATACATACTGCTATTTCAGAACACTCTCTCCTCTCTACCTCTGTCCCATCCAATAAAAAACTAACAAATACATGAGGAGTGGAACTGCCCCAATCCTTAAAAACAACACACAAAAAAACAATAGAAGGTTTATACAGGGTGTTTAGTCTCACCCGGTACAAACACTGAAATGTCCTTGGTCTCCTCTGTCGAGGACTCCTCACAGACGTAGTTCCCAGAGTGTCTCCAGGTGACGTTGTGGAGGACCAGCACACTGGTGGTTCCCCTGTTCTCCACAGACACTCCCTCCAGGCTGGGGTCATGGGCAGACTTCCAGGTCACCTTGCTCCAACCAGAACAGACCACTGTGAAGGAGGAGTTGGTGCTCAGTGTGACCTCCTTCTCGCTGGGGCTGAGCTCCAAACTGAGGCTCTCTGGACAAAACTGCAGGAGCACTGGGAAATAATGAGATAAACAACACAGACACATGTTACAAATGTACAGTCTTGATCAATTACAATGTAACTACAGTGTAAAATCACATTTAGCTTTTTCTTACCTGCAAAGATGGCCACCAAAGATAGAGCCTTTGCCAAGCTCACCTCCATAGTGTCAGCTAAATTGATGATACACTCTGTTAAATAAAATACAAATGTGAAGGAGTCATGTTAAATAAAATACAAATGTGAAGGAGTCATGTAAAATAAAATTAAAATGTGAAGCAGTCATGTTAAATAAAATACAAATGTGAAGGAGTCATGTTAAATAAAATACAAATGTGAAGGAGTCATGTTAAATAAAATACAAATGTGAAGGATTCACGTTAAATAAAATACAAATGTGAAGGAGTCATGTTAAATAAAATACAAATGTGATGGAGTAAAAGAGTGTAGAGAGAGAGGCCTTTGAATAATGTGAGACTCACTATATTATGTTTTTAAAGGGTGGGGGATTGCCTAGTCACTTTATCTCTACCTATATGTACACATCTACCTCAATTACCTCGTACCCCTGCACATCGACTCGGTACTGGTACCCCGTTACTCATTGTGTATTTATTCCTTGTGTTATTTTTTTTCTATTATTTCTCTATTTTCTTTCTCTCTGCATTGTTGGGAAGGGCTCTTAAGTGAGCATTTCACTGTTAGTCCACACCTGTTTTTTATGAATCATGTGACAAATAACATTTGATTTGATTTGATTTAGATTTTGATTGTAAGTGTGGAGGCCTTGCAGTGGTCTGGTAACAATAAGGCGCAACGACGGCGTGGAAACAGGGCCAGGAGTGAGTGGGTTCACTGGTAGTGTACAGAGCATGTCAACTCAAGTAAGGTCTGTGAAATGGAAACTCACAGTCAAAATAGAGATGTCACAGCTGAAAAAACTCAGGCTAATATAACATAGTTGGTGAAGGTATGTTATGGGTTGTCTCAGGCTAATATAACATAGTTGGCGAAGGTATGTATGGGTTGTCTCAGGCTAATATAACTTAGTTGGTGAAGGTATGTATGGGTTGTCTCAGGCTAATATAACATAGTTGGTGAAGGTATGTTATAGGTTGTCTCAGGCTAATATAACAGTTGGTGAAGGTATGTTATGGGTTGTCTCAGGCTAATATAACATAGTTGGCGAAGGTATGGGTTGTCTCAGGCTAATATAACTTAGTTGGTGAAGGTATGTTATGGGTTGTCTCAGGCTAATATAACATAGTTGGTGAAGATATGTATGGGGGTTGTCTCAGGCTAATATAACATAGTTGGTGAAGATATGTATGGGGGTTGTCTCAGGCTAATGTGGCTGCAGAACAAAAGACCAGTAGGACACTGCTCTGCTGTCTGTCTGGTACCATTAATACCTCTCTGCTACAAGACCATCCAGCCAGCTATAATGATCCTCAGCCAGAGAAGTTAATGTCCTTCCCAGCTACAGTATGTCTTTAAAGTGAGTACAGATGGGGCATCGGTGGTAAGTCACAGGAAAGCGATGGGGCATCGGTGGTAAGTCACAGGAAAGCGATGGGGCATCGGTGGTAAGTCACAGGAAAGAGATGGGGCATCGGTGGTAAGTCACAGGAAAGAGATGGGGCATCGGTGGTAAGTCACAGGAAAGAGATAGGGCATCGGTGGTAAGTCACAGGAAAGAGATGGGGCATCGGTGGTAAGTCACAGGAAAGAGATGGGGCATCGGTGGTAAGTCACAGGAAAGAGATGGGGCATAGCCACACTACATGCGATGTGTTCCCACTAATGTTATTCCTATCGGAGAGGCTGTAAAAGAAACTGAACCTCTGTTTAATATGGCTTACACTCACGTATCTGATCTGGCACCGCAATTACTGGGACATTTCCAGCCCATGTACGTTTTGCTTTTCTGAGGTTATGAATATGCTGATTCAACAGCAGTCTGCAAACCTTCTCATGGGGTATTTATTTATTTTACTAGGCAAGTCAGTTAAGAACAAATTCTTATTTACAATGACGGCCTACACCGGCCAAACCCGGACGACACTGGGCCAATTGTGCACCGCCCTATGGGACTCCCAATCACGGCTGGTTGTGATACAGCCTGGAATCGAACCAGGGGGTCTGTAGTGACGCCTCAAGCACTGAGATGCAGTGCCTTAGACCGCTGCGCCACTCAGGGTGTGGCACAGTTCCCACTGGCTAAATAGAAGTGAAAGAAGGCCATTTACGGACAACATTCCATGGCTCACATTTACTGGGAGTTTCATCAGCACTTCATTTGACCGGGTATACAGTCCTCACAACATTTCCATGAATACTTCAGAACAGTATTTTTGTGACATAAACTGCCCTGTAGCAGTGTATTGAGAGCAGGGTTGGGTAGATTACTTTCTAAATGTAATTCATTGCATTTACTAGTTACCTTTCCAAAAAATTTATCAGTAACGTAACTTTTGGATTACCCAAACTCAGAAACGTAATCTGATTGCTTTCAGTTACTTTTGGATTACTTTCCCCTTAAGAGGCATTAGAAGAAGACAGAAAGGATCCATCAAAGGCATTTGGTGTGTTATCATAGTGTTCTCTGACTGGGGCTCAGACTAAGTCATGTGGAACAAACTTAAACTTGCACCTTTTTTCAATGCTTAATTGAATGTCATTGAGAAAACAGAAAGCAGTCAGAGTATTATTTTCCCGCAAAAATCCTTTCTGAATTGAAATGTAATCTGATTCCAATATTTCTGCTGTTAACGTAACTGATTATAGTTACAGTTTTTTTGCAATCAGATTACATGTTATCAGTTACTCCCCAACCCTGATTGAGAGGCATATTTGTAGTTTTCGGTATTGAGCATGTGTTAATCTGTGACCCAAACAAGGCCTTCATTAATTTGACACATTTTCCATGTAGTGTCTGAATTGAAGGTAGGTGGTGGTTTTACAGTAATGGGTTGACAGTGTTTAATGCAGTAAAGGGAAATAAGTAGCTTGTAAAGACGGAAGGGTGCATGGGCATGAAACTCGACTGAAATGTACAGAATAATAAAATGTCGGTCAATTATGCTAGTGAAACCGCAGTTGAATAGTCAATCAGTGGAGGTCAGTGCCATTTAAGATGAGGGAGGACGATTGTTTTTCATGAGCATGACCTTATTTCTATTACAGCATATTGGATGACTGTCATTCATATTCCATTCACCCAGTTCAATGTAACAGCGATACGTTTAGGCTACTACATGATACTCTAATTTTCCCTGTACCCATCATGACGTTGCTACAACCTAGCCTATGAATGAAAGTGTACAACGTAGGTGCACACAGGTCGAGAGACAAATTTGAGGTGACAGACAGTGACACATGGACAGACAGTGACACATTCAATACCGCCTTGCACACTCTTGCCTGCATCTAGCTGATATAGGGTGTAATCATAAGTCCAACAGTTGCAAACGAGAGTTTCTATTGGACATATTCAGGTATGTTTATCCCCGTTTTGTTCCGTTTGCTTCCATTTAAGAAACATTTTTCAACAGAATCGTCGGAATGAATACACCCCTGATCACGCGTAAACACAGTTCACTTTCATAGCAGACACGTTGTTTTCCTTCTCGCATCTATGCGCTCTCCTCCTCTCACATCTTCCCTTTGCTTGTGGACTTCAATGCACAACACATGTGACCATGAGAAAAACCCTTTCCTAACCATAACCGCTACACACAGCCTACATCGTTGTCACTATATTAGCTAAAGTAACGTCATAGTCAGCATAGCTAATAGAACTAACGCGTTAGTAAACCCGCTACAATAATGCAGTAATGTTACAGTGTACAGTCAGTAAGCAGTTACACCGGCGGGCCCCGATGGCAATAAATTAGTAAAACCAAAAGCTTACCTTGACTTGGAAGAGTTCCAGTGTTGTGTCATAGCCAGCTAGCTAACATAGCATCGCTCTGTTTGAGCAGGGTGTTTCAGTGGGCTAAACTAGCTAGTTGCATTTGCTAGCTAAGTAAGTGAAACTGAAAATGACAAAAAATGACAAAATCTCTCTCTCTATTTCTCTCTTGCTTCTCTTTCATTTTGGAAGAAATTAATTTGTTAAAAACTGTTCAACTACTGTCTTTCTCTCTCTTTGAGTCAACTACATTTTATGCACTGCAGTGCTAGCTAGCTGTAGCTTATGCTTTTAGTACCAGATTAATTATCTGATCCTTTGATTGGGTGGACAACATGTCAGTTCATGCTGCAACAGCTCTGGTAGGTTGGAGGACATCCTCCGGAAGTTGTCATAATTACTGTGTAAGTCTATGGAAGGGGGTGAGAACCATGAACCTCCTAGGTTTTGTTTTGAAGTCAATGTACCCAGAGGAGGACGGAAGCTAGCTGTCCTCCGGCTACAACATGGTGCTACCCTACACAGTGCTTTTGAGGCTACTGTAGACATTTTACATTTTAGTCATTTAGCAGATGCTCTTATCCAGAGCAGAGAAACCAGTAACGTCTCACAGACAAACCTGTGGGTTGGCAGTTGCAAAATAGTCTGGGCTGGTTGCAGACAGAGAGAAGCAGCCGTGAAACCCCCCTTGTCGTGTCGTGTGTTCGAATAAGAGAGAGAACAACAAATATGATAAGGACAATATGGCCGTCACTTACCTTGGGAGAGTGCCTGACCACCTTTTTCAACACCCTGTCTTGTCTGTTGACCAGTAGGATAGCTATCTGTGCTCCTGTATCCTATCTGAGTTGGAGAGAAGTCCTTAATGTTGATGTTGAGTGAGCTCCTTCAATCTGCAGCGAGATATAGGTAGAAACCTTCAATCAGGAGTGTGCCTTAGGAGAGTGTACGGGAAGTAAGCTCCTATGCATTCATAAAAACTCCCGCAATACCCAACAATCCAATCCTCTTGAAGCCATTAGGGTCAACAGTTTCTCCTCGTCCTTGAATAGGACGGCGTTCTGGCTAGACTTGCTGTGTCCATTCTAACAAAAACAGGACAAAAAAAGCAAAAGCTTATCTATTGGCAGAAGTCTGTTATCACCTTGAAAGTCAATATTCTTCTGTTCCGATCGAGTGCTGAGAGAAGGGCTCCTGCTGTTGTTTGAGGCTATACTGGAAGGTACTCTCTGCATCTGTTTTCAATCTTGGC